GCCCAAGGGATTCCATCAGTGATAAAAACAGCTTGTTGTTTTCGAGAGTGATGCTACTTTAAACTGCAACTTTAGATCTTGACCCACACCCAGATCCAGGATCTGTCAAAGCTAAAATGATCATCGGTGGTTCTCTTTCGCTTCTCTTTGTCTTGGTTTTTCTGTCAAACCTTTCCACAGGTAAGTAAAACGGCATTTATCGATCACATTTTAAGTTAGCAACTGATAATTTGATTGCCAGATTATCCCAAAATTCTACCCAACGTTTAGCCGAATTGGTAGAGATGCCGATAAATTTTGCGATCGGCTTGAAATTTAGTAGCTCAGGTTCTGACTGCGTAGTAATCAAGGCCAATTTAACCGGAAAAACGATAATAGAAAGCACCTTAATTATATCAGCCAAGAGGATTTTAAAATCCTTAGTTCTGATAAAATTTTGTCTAAAATCCAGTCTGTCCTGGTTCTGACTATATTTCAACCCAAAGTTGAATAAAATGTGATTCCAATTACACTCACGATAGCTCGGTTTAGTAACGCTTCTTGATTTATGAAGAAAAAGTAATAAGTTATGGCAATTTTTCAGTCATTTCCGAGATCGATTTCAATGGCTTTGCATGCTTCTATTGTCGATCATTGTCTGTTTCATCCACCTCTGATTGGTTAATTTTATGCCTTGCTTCAGTTTTTATTTGCCAATGAGTGTTTTTTTCGGTGTACGAGTCCAGCTTCACTTGGTACTAGAATTGTTTCCTGCTATCAGCGTCGCTTATGTAGGAAGATCGAAGGAGACTCTTCTGTTCGCAGGGTACAGTAATTGAAAAATCTGGCCTACATTTCAGGTGATGGTTTGTGTTCTAAGAATAAATTCTCGTGTGACGTCAGTAAATGCATTAGCAAAGGACAACTTTGTGACGGTCAATTGAATTGCAAGGATCGCTCCGATGAACTCAATTGTGGTAAGTATGTTTAAACCTCAGTCCAACCTCTTCAACCAGGGTTAGAGATCCCTCCGTATATATTCCTGACATCTGTCTACTGTATTATCGATGACAAACTTCACCTGACGCATTCCCTACGTCTGTACTAATTCTGAGTTCGGTGTAATAATTTTTCGCTGCTCTATGTTTAATATATAAGCAACTAGAAGTTAACTAACTAAACATTTCATCTTGAAAGTAAAAAAGTACCCATTAAATTGTTTGAAAACCCAAACTGCGGAATCGTCGGACGCGAAGAATGAAAAAGAAAAGATTCTTTTATAGCTACTATTTTTATCTATAAAAACTAGCTTGAACAAGAGATCTCATACGGTACTTCCTTGCCCATATTTTCACTTGACGGTAAGCGAATTAAATCCCTCCAACAGACGGATTGAAAAGTGGAAACACATCCTTTGATCGTTGTGGAATATTACCCACATCAAAACAGAAACAAGTTAAAATTCTTTACTTCAGGCTTACGTAAGACCGGCCAAATACGTCTACTAGCTTGAGTATTTGAACGTCTCTTTCAGCAATGATAGTCGTCAGAGCTTTTCCCTTAGTAAATTCTTGAAACGAGATTGATCATGTGGTTGTGCTAAATAATGTGTTGTATATGTTTGGCTAAAAGTGTTAGTTTTAAGCGACCCTCCCTTCCTCTCCAAAGCGTCTACTTCAAATGCAAATTTAAAAAAATCGACCATATGCATGGCTTGCCTTATAAGCAGACTTGGGGATCCACTTTTTTTATCCGCAATAAAAGTTGGTTGGCTCACCCTCGTTCCTAGCGTCTCTAAACCCAGGCCTGGTTGGAGATAGGGACTGTTAAGTTCTGTCGAGTTCCCGATGTTCTCATCTTTTCTCTACTCTTTAGTCTACCCCTAATCGCCTTAGCTTCATTTTCTACCCCCATATCAAAACCTCAATTAATAACCGAATATTCTGCCTTTTGCACCACAGATATAACAACGCAAAATACCACCAATATTACCAAACTAGTTAACGAAACTTCATCGCTTATATCAGTCAGTAAGTACATAACTACATCGCCGTCCAGTCAGCCTAGCAATTCCAAGAACACCGTTTCACCTACCCCAACCAGATGGGAAAAGGCAAAGAAATTTCTAAAGAAAAAGGTTTACTCTAAGAATGGAACCAAACAAAGAAAAAGCCGTCGTCCTCTTTATCGCCACAAACTCTCAAAGTGGACCAAAAAACAGACCTCAACAACGGCATCAGATACGACACCTTCAGTGGAAACATCTGTCACGCACTGTTCAGTCACGGAATGTGATCATTGGAGACCTTGTTGGCGTGACGTGAAAAGGTCACGCAAGTGTGTGTGTGATGAGGCGGACTGCATTGTATATTGGAATGCAAGTAGTCGTTTAGGAAGCGAGGACAAGACGAATATGAAAGGTAGGAAAAGAAATCGTTAACAACAGAAAAATAAGTTTCCCATTCCGTGTTTTTTTCCTGCGGAGATTAACTTGCAACTGAACTTAAAACAAGTCAGCCTAATGTCCTTATCTTTACTTTCCGGCAAAATCACTCTAAACTCTTTTTGATAAAATAATTCGATGCTGAATTCCCCTTTTTCTTTTTTAAATTCCTCGCGCGCCACCGTATTGGAATTTGAAACGTCAGTTCTTTTCTGGCAGGCCAAAAAAAAAGCGTTTGTAGACGGATGACAACAGTAACCTGCGTAGGAAACGCCAGTTTTTGTACGGCGTGTTCGTATTCCCCTCGTGATTGTGCACCTCGCGCGCTCTGTGAAAAATGAAAAAACTCGGCCCCTCCTATCAGCCAGGCTATGACAACAGCGGTAACCGAATGGCGTTATTATATATTCAAAATGGCGGCAAGCGGAAAACGACCGATCTTGTTTCCCAACTAGTTAATATCTACTTTTTTATCTTTTCCGAAAATAAAATTTGAGTTTCAGAATTCAATTTTTACAAGTTTACTTCAATTTGACATTGGAGGTTCCCTTTCGTGATCGATGCAAGACTGGCTAGTTTTCCTGTTTAAAAAGTGGACCGAAAGAAGGGCACATCATTACTCCTGCCTTGCGGACACCCCGATAAAACGGACAGTAGCTAAATCCCGGGCAAAAACAAATTTCAGACGTTTGACTGAAATAAACTTCCAATATTACGGACTCTGGCTAATAAGGACACTAACTCGAGGTCCCTACGGTGTCTGCAATAAAGAGAGACTGTATTTCCTATACATGATCCTTCCGTTTGACAGTTACCCCTAAAGACATTAAGACATCCCGTTATTTAATTACCCTTTATTGGTTAATAAATTTAATCACTATTCGTTCAAAATATTTACCCAATTCTGATTGGCTAAAAGCACACGCATAATTCACCATAACCAGTTACTGATGACCAAATTTGGAAGAATTTTGTGTTTAACGAGGAAATGACGTCAAAAATGCAGCCTTCTACAGGTTAATGCACAGTTAACCAAGAAGACCTGGGGACGAGGTTGAGTTGTTTTGGTTGTGAACTTGAAAAATGGCGGACATTTCACTCGTTTCAAGAGTAAGAACTAGGTGAAAAAATAGCTAAAAACATGGCAAGAACAGCAAGAAGACAACTCGAAGGGCGACATCTGCTATTTGGAGAATATTTGCGGAGCTGAACAACCCTAAACGTACACTATCAAAGATGAACTTAACGTCGACGGATCGACGGAGGTAAGCATGTTTTAGCCATGTTTTTAAACAAGGAATTATTTTGAATGAATAATAGAACAATTATTGAATTCGGCTTTCGTATCATATGAAGAATTATGGAGATCTCGGAGGGTGTTAATCCGCCTAGGCCTACGGCCTAGACGGATAACACCCTCCTCGATCTCCATAATTCTTCATATGATACGAAAGCCGAATTCATTAATTGTTAATTATTTATTCATCTATCTATGTATTTTTGTTCATCTTCCAGATGTTTTTGAATGGTTAGCCATATCTCTTTCTTCCTTCGGGCTTGTCTTAGCGACCATCATCCTCTTGCTGAAGCGAAGAAGATTACGTCATAACGACACCAGACCGCTGCAGGTTCGTACTGTCATATGTTATCATAATGGACAGGATGACGTGGCACGCATGCGTCACGGGACAGCAGCTGAAATCCACCCCTTGTGCGAGAATGACTCATGCACAAGCCTTCTGGTGCGAGACCAAGGACAAACCTTTTCGTTTTGAATTTCAGTAATCACCTGGGAAATGATAGCTGTTGCTATGACAACTCAATCAGCAACGAATATCCTATTTGCGTCTAAACTACGTACTGTTTACGGACCAATCTCAATGGCATGCCGATGTGATCCCCTCGATTCGATTATGATAAGCCTACGACTCAAGCTGTACTCGGTATAGTGCATGTGAATTAACCTTCGACACTGAGTATAAGCCGGCTGACGTGAATGGAACTTGGGAAGGGTTATTTCGCAAGCACATCGCATCTTACACGTACAGTAGTTCCAGTAGTCTGGGTGATAAATCGATTTATCACGACTCACGATCTGATTCCGGAGTTTCAAGATGGTAACTACTAACAATATAGTAAAGTGAATTTAGAATTAGGAAGGGAACTTGTTATTGACATGAGTAGGAAGTAGAAGAACACAAGAGAAGAGCAGATATCTCTGGGAGTAGCTTTTGATAGAAAAATTATAGTTAGTATGAGTTAAAAATGATATTCAAATTAATAAAAAAAAATGCGTGCATTCCACTCTTGGCTCACGTTGCTTACTCTTTTTTCTTTTCCTCTTTTTTTGTGGTTTTTTCTTTTGTTTTGTCTCTGTCTGACATGAAAACTACACGTCAGCTGATGATTATTTGCCTTTGACACAATGGCCCAACGTTTGTAATTAAGACGGCCTTGAAGCAGCTGAACCAGACCAATTAAAATTCTTCCAGTTAATGAACGAGGAAAAATGACCTGATCACAGACGTCTGAGTAAATCCTTTACTTCACGCACGCGAGGCAGCTAAGAAAAAAAAAACTGATTTTATGAAACCAAGAGTCTTTATCTTCCCCTGGTGAAAATAGACTATCTACTACGCCTTCCCTAACCCAACATTTCTGGAAAGCGCACAAGCGCACCGGTGATGTACACTCTGTGTGTCTTCTCACTAATTGTTATATAGTGGTAGTAACTTTCTTACAACTTGTTGTCGGTAGTTCTTAGCGGAGCTCCAGTAAGAAAATTTGGTAATCTATCCATCCGAGAAAATTTGGTTATGACGTCAGTGTACGACCGAACGCTGACCGTACAGACCCTGGGGGAGGGGCAAGGGCGTCAGAAGTCAGCCCGTCGGGGTAGGAGTATGTTGAAGCTGAGGTGAAATTTTGCATTTCAAGCACCCCGCTCATTTCGGCCGTAAATCACATGGCCGCCCGGACCGTTAGAGAGAAAAAAACAACAACAAAAGACGAGTCTTTCTTTCCACTAAATATTAATGTCTACATTGACTTGGATAACAGAGAAAGAGCTAGAACGAGGAAATAAATAACAATGGAGACAAATTTCGTTGGAAGAAAAACATGAAAATAATATAGCGGCGGTGAGAAAATGACCGACATTGAAATAACAGAGTGAACAGTAACACAAACATTTCCTCCATAAAACGTTTAAATTAAATAGGAAGTTTAAAGTGGTTTTTTACGTTTTAGTCGTGCAAAACAACAGCAAGGAAATGTAGAAAAAAGTGTGCTGCACGTAAAAAGTTGTTTTTGTTTTTTGCTAATTAGAAAAAAAACGTGTGCTGCACGTGCAAAGTTTGTTTTTAGCTTATTAGATCTATTGTTATTGTTTTTTACCGTTCTCGTTGTTTTCACCTTGTTTATAGTATTACTCGATTTTTATATTTTCTATGAGGAAACTATAAATATGAAAGAGAGCTTCGCTTTTAGCCCTGCGGCTAAATCTATATATTAGAAGTTACTAGTTATAGTGGTAGTTACTTGGTTACTGTAAGTAATTACAAGTACGCTTTTCCATTTTTGAGGAAAAATATAAAGGTAACGAATTGGTAAATGAGAGGATAAACAATAACACTGATAAAAACAGCTGCTGATATTCATATTGATAAAAGTGTTTGATTTTGATTTCTCAATCTTACAAGTCCATCAGCTTTTGCACCCCCTTACCGGGGTGTGCATCTTACATGACGTAATAAAGAGGAGAAATCGTTACGTCACATTGCCATGGTATAGCAAAATTTTTTGATGACAACAAACCGAAAATTTACTTAAAAAGAGAATTTGCACTGTTTTAAACTTCATCGATCTTATTCAATTTCATTTAATTAGTCAAAAGGTAGCGAAGTTTTCTGGGGTTAAATCCGAAAGGACCGTATCTAAGTTAAGACTGAAGAAAACAAAAGTTTTTGTGTTGTATTCAACTACTCCATGAAGCGGTTGCGTGAAATTAGGAAGTTTCATGTCGCAGTCATGCAACGACGGCTAAAAAGCGTGATGCTCGTGCAAAGTTGTTGTTTTGCTAATATAAACCTACAAAGATGTGCTAGCAGCGGCTCAGGACATTATGGGCAGTCTTACATCAAGTACTACCAGGATTTTTACGCTGTCTCGTTGCCGTCGTCGTCGGGTAACGTGACGTCACATTTCTCTTCTCTATTTGAACCAATCAACGTCAAGTTTATCTGGCAATGCCCGCAGTCCTATTGGTCAGCAAGCTGTCTTCAAAATCATAACCCGATATTCCGGCGCAGGAAGATTTAAAAATGGCGGGATCAGAAGAGGTCGAAGTAGATTATAACGCTGTTTTGAACGACAGAAAAGAGGTAAAAATAACCTTTCAGAGGGAAAGAAAAAGAGAATTATTTTATCAATCATGTAAAGTGCATTTTATTGCATTTCAGGCCAACGAAAATGAGCTTAGAGCTGCTTACAGATGCACGTGTCAGCATGTGCAGGATCGACGTACAAACATCAAGATCCCGCGATAAAGGTAAGGTTCAAAAAGCTAAGACCCTGTTCGCACTAAGCCCAACTTTGTTTGTTTTGCCAAAAAATTGTCAACAGGGAGCCATTTCCAGTGCGGACGATTATTTCTCCCGCCAAAATTTTCTCAACTGTCACCAAAGTTCAAAGAA